TTGTAATATTTATAATATAATGAAACTGAAATATTATTTTTTATATTTTACATATGTAACTAATATATTTAGAAATAAAACAACATTAATAATAATGATGATGATAATAATCACAATCATAATCATAATATTTATTATTATTATTATCATCATTATTATTATATTGTACTATTTATAATATTATAATGCAACTGAATAATTATTACATTTTATAAATGTGGCTAATATTATTAAAAAAATAAAACACCATTGATAATTGCAACAAAATTAATAGTAATTTTATTTTTTTTATATTTTAAGTATTTTAAATAACTTTTCCCACTGCACATTTTGACATAATTATTATATTGTAACATTTATAATATTCTTAATAATACAATTTAGAAATATATACATTTTAATGCTTATATAAAATATTAATTTTTATATGTATATTTTAATTTAGACAAAATAAAATAATAAATAATATTAGTATTATTATATTGTTTTATTTCTTAATATATTAGTAAAATGTTACTACAGTGGTTTAAATGTATTTTTTATATTTGTGTTTTTAAATGTTATTTTATTATTATTGAAAAATAATGAACATAATTAAAGTCATTTTTGCTGTAATGCAGTAAAAGTGTTCATAAAGATCTGTTTCTTCTCCCACAGATCGTCCCGTCCATCACATCAGTCTCCATAGCAACAGAACTCTGGAGGAGGAAGTGATGTCGATACAGGAAACGATGCGTTCCGAAGACGGCTCTCATTCCCGCCGGAAGCGCTTTCTGTCGTATCCGCGATTCGTGGAACTGATGGTGACGGCCGACGCCAAGATGGTGCGACATCACGGACACAACCTGGAGCACTACATCCTCACAATCATGTCAGTAGTAAGTAAATTATCCCTTCATTCTCCTCTCTCTCGTCTGGGTGTTATAGTCAGAGAACCGCTCATTAAATGGTTTCAGTGCTTAATCAATAACTGATTCCATCCCTCATGTGTGTGTGATAGTGAGTTACTCTCTAATAGGCTGGGCTGGACTGTGCTTTAATATGAAGCATCATTGACCACTTCGTATATTTTGAGCTCATGAGCCAGTTTTGGCTTTGAATCCAGATTTAAATGAGTCAAAACAACAGATGGACAATATTTGCACTTAATGATGCAGGTGCCTTCAGAAATATCATCATAATGATGCTTTGATATGTGCTGTAGTACTGTATGATTACCATATTTGGTACTTAGGAAAATAACATGGCACTTTATGGTACTTTTTTGTTATTGAGTGTAAGAGAAAGTAACATTCACACTAAAGATTCAGGTCGAATTCTGTTCATCTAAGTTTTAATTTTATTTAATTTTATTTAATTGTATTTATTTTATTAAAATTTTAATTTAATTTAATTTAATTTAATTTAATTTAATTTTATTTTATTTTATTAAATTTTATTAAATTTTATTTTATTTAATTCTATTTAATTTAATTTTTTACATTTAAATATGTTTATATAGTTTTAATTTTATTTAATTTTGTTGTATTTTTTTATTTTATTTTATTTTGGCTAGTTAAACATCTCGTCATTTAGATCATGTGACAACTTTTTAAAAAAATAATTATTTTCTACTTTTTGACTCATTATCTGATCTGACTGCCAGTAATTTTTACAAAAAAAAAGTTCATTTTTATTTCAATTTTATTAGTTATTTTAGTACTTCAAGTTAAACTAAACAATAATTAGAAATACTAGCTGAAATCAAATATTTTTTTAGCATTTATTTCAAGTAACAAAAATAAAAAAAACTGTAATGGGTTTTTAGTGTTAGTTTTAGTTAACGATAAGAACCCTGGTCAGTCCGGGTCTGATCGTGTGATCTGATTGGGTTTTGGTGTGCTGATGATGTCATAGCGGTGTGGTTCTCTCAGCCAATCAGAAGACTGCGTTAGTGTGTCTGTCTGTAAATGCAGCCGTCTGTCTGAGGTTTTCCCTTCGGCTTCTTCTAAACGCTCTGCAGATCATACCTCGAATCTGTTTTTAAACTGGTTTAGGAGATCCAGAGCAGGGTGAACCCTCAAACATGACTGGTCTCTCAGTATATTTGGCAGCGCAGTGGTTTGTGGGTATTTTGGACTGAACTGTGTTCTGTGTTGTCTGTGCTTTCAGGTTGCTGCGATCTACAGAGACCCCAGTGTAGGAAACCTCATCAACATCGTGATCGTCAAACTCATCGTCATACACAACGAACAGGTACAGCAGAACCAGGGACGTCTGGGGATGTAACTGTATTATCCATATCGCCATAGCTAAACGATATTATCGTGGTCACATCACGATATGAAACGATAGGTCTTCCGAGCAAAAAGTGTAGTTTTAAAAATATATTTAAACATCTTATTCTAACATAAGAGGTCTTTAGAGTTGTGTTTTGGGGTTTAAATGCAGTCCAAATTCACAATATCTCTTTCAAGTGTAGAAATTAGGAAAGAAGTATTGTCATTTCCCTACTGTAGTGTAAAACAATAATAATATACCTATGAAATATTCATTTTCATTTATTTTACAGTGCAACTGTTTTACAGTATATGGCTATTACTGTCATTGTTGTTATTATTATATTCTATTCTAATTTGTTTGGCTTCCTAAAACAGCAGTGTGAGTGTAATTTAGACTGAGACAGAGTATATCACAAATAAAAAGAGGCTTGAGTCCCCTTTAAAGTTCAATTAACTTTTTCTGACTTAAGTTTTCTTAGTTAAGAAACATGGGTTGGAGCTCTTAATTTTGAGCTCTCAAAGTGCATTAGATAGAATAATTTAACTTTAAAATGTACAAAATTTTCATTTATAAAGTGGAGAGTTCTGGTCCTTGATTCTGATTGGCTGAGCCGCGTTCGAAGCTGTTGTAAATTACTCTACAAACATACACCTTTGTTTACTTCTGTGTGTTGCTCGGCAACCACTTTGTTGCAACCACAACTGTTTCTGAGGAACTACATTGTTTGGTGGAAGAATACTGTTTTTATTAATATCATTACACTTTATTTGCTCTGTTTTATTCTGTGAAACCTTACTACGTATATAGAATAACCGTTTTATAAAAGCAATAAGCCCCGTGAAGCCGTGGTTTACAGTGAATTTATAACAGCTGAGGGGGTTTTAGGCACTCCGCTTCACATCTAACAACGCCCCTTAGCTGTTATAAATTCACTGTAAACCACGGCTTCACGGGGCTTATTGCTTTATTTTTTTCCAAGTCTCCAACTGTCTTTTTTTTTTTTTAAATATCGCAATAAATACCATACCGTGGACTTCATATCGTGATATTATCATATCGTGAGATTTTGATATGGTTACATCCCTAGTGACGTCTCTTTAAGATCTTGGCTGAAGACTACAGTAATCTCTCACAGGTCTCATCTAGAGCTCAGCAGCGTCTCAAATTGTTGTAATTGTTTTAAAAATGAGTAACTATTTAAGTGTTTTTCTTGCTGAGTAAATCATCAGTGTTGGTAATGCTTATTGCTGCATAGTGTTTCACATTCAAATTTAAATTTATGAATACATTTAATGAATTTAAATAAAAGATGCAATTTTCATTTTTTACTTTTTTTTGATGAGACTGCCAACATTTTTACATAATACTAGTTTTGAAAGTGCAAATTAACTATTTATTTGAATTAAACACCTTTAAATAATTAAACAACTTATCATGTGCTTGTTGCACTGCATTCTGTTTCGCATTAAATTTTTAAAAATTATTTTTTCTTTACTTTTCATTGACTCAATATCAGAGTTATTATAGTTAACTAAAACTAAAACCATGAAAAAATATACATATATTTTAATTACTCGAAATAAAATGTTAGCTGAAATAAAATAAGAATGAAAAAAAAAACTTTATTTTATTTCAGATATTTTCTAAAATAACTCAATTTTCGAGTTTTTTTTCTTGCTCAATTGACACACAGTTTAATATTCAGGTTTTTAAAAAAAAAATTTCTCCTTTTTGACTATTTTGACTTCTTCTCAAACAACCAAAAAAGTAAAAAAAAAAAAAAAAAAGTTTGAAAAATCAAAATATCTGTTTATGTATTTTTTCATGATATTTTAAATTTTGTCATTTAAAAATGGTTTGTTTTTTCCTTTTTGACTCTCATCAAACTGCCAAAAATGCATAATAAAAAATTGGTTGAACAGCAAAATAACAGTTTTCTTCATGCATAATGAAATAAAAACTGATATTTTAATATGATGGGATATTGAGAAGATCTCAGTCCTTTCTCATCAAACACTCTGAGCTCCTCCACATTCATTTCTATACTTTAAACACATTACGACTAGCAACTCATTCTTATGGAAATTCGGGAGAAACTTGAAACAGTGAAATAATGCATGACGTGCCGTGAGACATGCCGTGAGTTATTCCTCTGTAATAACTGGGTTTGGATAATAAAGTGTGTGTTTTCCTCAGGAAGGGCCGAATATAAACGTCTACGCCACTGCGACGCTTCATAACTTCTGCATGTGGCAGCAGAGTCACAACGTTTTGGACGACAGTCACCCGGGTCATCACGACACGGCGCTGCTCATCACCAGGTGACCTGAGCTTGACCTTTGACCTCATGACCTCTGCCTTCTACAGTGTGCTTCTGTTTGAGCTTGAGCTTTCAGCATAAACACTATTATGGGATGTGTGTTTGTTTCTCAGGGAGGACATCTGCCGAGCAAAGGACAAGTGTGACACGTTAGGTAAGATTTCACACTACTGTCCTGATCTGTTATTTCTGCAGTATGTGTGCGGTATTAAAATGTGCTGCATGCAGCTGGATGAGATACTGTATCCCACACTGCAGCGTACTCAGGTTGGTTTAAAAAATGCAACTTTTATTTTTTTGCTGAATTAAACATTAGTGTGGTCATGTACAGCAGTGCTTGTTGCTGCATATAGTTTCATATTAAATTGTTAAATTTTTATTTGAAACAACTCGCAAAGTATGATTTATTTTTAATGTATTATTATTATTATTATTATTATTATTAATATTTTTCACAAAAAGCTAATAAATGTGAAATATCTTTTTATTTGACTATTTGTTCTTTCTAAACTAATCAATATTTTAAATCTTTTTCTCCTTTTTGACTCATTATTTGATTAGACTGCCAAAATGTTTATATATTTTAAATATAAACGTTTTATATACATATACATATGTATATATATATAATAAATGTGAAATATCTACTTATTTGACCTTTTTCTTTATCAGTTAATCAGTCATTTTAATCATATTTTTTTCCCTTTTTGACTCATTATTTAATCAGACTGGCAATTTTTTTTCTTTTATTATTTTTACAAAAAGGTTTGAAAATATGAAATATCTATTTATTTGACTGTTTTCTTCCTAAATGAATCAGTCATTTTAATAATATTTTTTTCTCCCTTTGACTCATTATTTGATCAAATTGCCAGAGGTTTGTTTTAAAATTACAAAATAAAAATTGATTTTTCTTGCTGAATAAAACATCAGTGCATGCAGTCGTGTAGGTCATGTTACAATAATGCTTATTGCTGCATACGAGTTAAATGAAGTAATACATTTGATTCATGTTTTGTTTTTAAAATACTATTTTAGTGTTTTTTCTTAATATTTTTTCTCTTTAAGTTTTTTTCAAAACTAGTTTGAAAATGCAACATACCTGTTTTTGACAACATACTATGCTGCTGTATAATCAACTATTTAAAAAAGTTTTTTTTTTGGTTCATTATTTTGACTTGTGTGGGGTCACTGAATGGACTGAAAGCAGGTTCCTGAAGCAGAACCAGATCCTGCAGAAAGTCTGTCAGCTGTGCTTCATTTGACTGTCATCAGCGTGTCGTATAGGACCAGCCACCTGTGCCGGGCCCCAGCAGGTGTTTAAGGCCCAAAAACCACACAAAAGCATTGGATAATAAAGTCATGCTCTCTCTCAGAGATGGAAACTCGAGTCTGCGACTTGGACTCGAGTCGCACTTAAGTTGCATAAATAGAGGCTTGCGACTTGACTTGGACTCGTGACTCATGACACTCGTAAAAAACTCAAACTTACTGGTTTTAGAAAAGTTTAGAAGGTGTTTTCTTTTCATCTTGCCACTGTATAATGCATAGCTATTAAAGTAGTGTTCATAAGCGGCAAACAATAAAACGCTTTATCGCTGCTGTTCCATAAGCGCCACCTGCTGGCAGAGAGTGAATCTGCATTCTCATCCAGCCTGTCTGCTGTTTTGTTTCGTGCAGATATTTTATGCAGTAGCCTATAGTTTCACAAAACTAAAGTCAGACCATTCTGTAATTGCTTCAAATGTTCAAATTATACAATCCAGTTCAGATTAAAAGCTGCTCATGCTGCATGTATGCTGCATCTTTGTTTGGATTGTGTTTAAAATACTGTGTTTGCCTCTAATTTTAAATGAAAAGAGCACAGACAAAACCTTAGTATGTTTGTGTGAGATTTCTTTTATTTGTGTTATTCATTTGTGAGCCTGGAGCACAAAAGCAGTGTTAAGTCGCTGGGGTATATTTGTAGCAATAGCCAACAATACATTGTATGGGTCAAAATTATCAATTTTTCTCTCATGCCAAAAATCATTAGGATATTAAGTAAAGATCATGTTCTATGAAGATAATTTATTCAGATAATGTATAAATCTCAATTTCAGAAAAATTGACCCTTATGACTGGTTTTGTGCTCCATGGTCACATTTGATTGGGGTTTGTTTTAAAATTTCTATTTAGTTTTGTTAGTCGACATACTTCAATTTTACAAAGAAATGTGCAGCATTTTGTCTGAGAAATAATAAAAGGACAATCGTATCCTAAAATCAGTATTTCAAAACTGATTGAGCCTCAATAACTAGCTGAAAGAACTGTTGCTAAAAACAGAACAAAGACTTGAGACGGGAATTGGACTCCACTTTAAAGACTTGAGACTTGACTCGCACTTGGACCTCAGAGACTTGTGAACATGTCTGCTCTCTCTTAATGAAGGTCTGGCGGAGCTGGGGACGATGTGCGACCCGTACCGAAGCTGCTCCATCAGCGAGGAGAACGGCCTGAGTGCATCCTTCACCATCGCTCACGAGCTCGGACACGTGTAAGTCGCCCCAAAGACCCTCAAAATGCTTTAAAGGATAAGTCCACTTCCAGAATCGAAATTTCCTGATAATTTACTCACCCCCATGTTATCCAAGATGTTCATGCATGTCTTTCTTCAGTCGCAAAGAAATGAAAGGTCTTTGCACACTGACTCCGAAATTATCGTCCGAAATTTTTGCACATTTAAAAATAAACACGCCCTCACGTTGTGTCAATCATGTTTACACACTGCCTACGAGACTTTCGTCCTTCAGAAAAAAATTCGGACCAGGTTCGATTTTCTGCGTTTTCGCATCCGTAGCATGCATTTTGATAGGAAAGGATGACAAATACGAAACAAAAACAGAAAAACGCAAACGAAAATATCGAACTCGGAGTGCAAGGACCTTAAGTTTTTTGAGGAAAACATTGCAGGATTTTTCTCCACATAGTGGACTTCAATGGGGATCAACGGGTTGAAGGTTAAAAATGCAGTTTCAATGCAGCTTCAAAGGACTCTACACGATCCCAACCGAGGAATAAGGATCTTATCTAACCAAACGATCGGTCATTTTCTGAAAAAAATTCATATTTATCCACTTTTCAACCACAAATTCTCAGCTTGCTCTAACTCTGTCTTTACACATTGCGTAATCCTGTTGGAAAGGTCATGCGCGATTAGTTCTCCGTCTAAACTCTCCCCCAACTTTAATATCATCAGACATCGTTGTTTTACCTTTTTTGTAAAGGGCGTGTGACTTTGCATCTCAGAGCTAGAGCAAGCTGAGCATTTGTGGTTGAAAAGTGTATAAATATGAATTTATTTCAGAAAATGACTTATGGCTAGATAAGATCCTTATTCTTTGGTTGGGATCGAGTAGAGTTCTTTTGAAGCTGCATTGAAACTACATTTCGACCACTGAAGTCCATTATATGTAGAAAAGTCCTGGAATGACATGGGGGTGAGTAAGTTGTCAGGAAGTTTGTATTCTGGAAGTGGACTTATCCTTTAATAACAGAGAGCCGTGTTAGTGAGGTTACGTGAGCCCGGAGCATGTAGGAGCTGCGCTTCGAGTCGTGTAAATGAGTGCAGTGTGAAAGAATGACAGTTCCCTTTCAGTCGGTCACTCTCGACGTCACGTCGGATGACCGACGAATTGGGATCTCGCTTAGAGAGACCAATCCACTTCGAGTGTAAACTAAACGAGCCAATGCACATTGGCATGCGATTATTGCATCCAGCTGCTGCTGATCACAGCGTGAGTATAAGTAGGCAGCAGATGCAACGCATATTCAGCTTTTCGCTTCGGAGCAGAGCG